AGTGAATAGAAACATCTATAATGTTAGGTCATTAAGAAATTAATGTAGCTTTTTTTAGATGCTTTTCCATCTTACAATTAGGTTGTTAATGCCCTGATTAAAGAAATCACTTGGCTTTGAAGCAAAAAACATGTTGATGTCCTATTTAACATCTTCCACACTTGCATACTTTTTCCAATTAAGATGGTGTTTCAGCGAACGAAAAAGATTGTAATCTGATGATGCCATATCTGGAGAACATGATGGGTAGGGGAGAACTTCCCAACCCAACTCCATAATCTTGTGTTGCATCAAACATGCCACATGTGGACATGCATTGTCATGGAGAAGAACACCTTTCTGATTGATTGACGAGTGAAAAGCATTTCTGATGAAGGGCTTGATTTAAATGTTCCAGTTGCTGACTATAGATCTCTGCATTGACAGTTTGCTGTGGATTGAGGAGTTCGAAATGAATTACTCCTTTGATGTCCCACCAAATGCAAAGAATCACTTTCTGTGAATGGAGTCCAGGTTTTTGGGTCGGTTTTTGATTTAAGTGTTCCAATTGCTGACTATAGATCTCTGCATTGACAGTTTGCTGTGGATTGAGGAGTTCGAAATGAATTACTCCTTTGATGTCCCACCAAATGCAAAGAATCACTTTCTGCGAATGGAGTCCAGGTTTTTGGGTCGGAAGTGGTTTTTGTCTAGGACTGAGCCATTGTTTTTGGCATTTAATATTCGCATAGGGAATCTATTTTTCATCACCGATGACAATTATGTCCTAAAATGGTTGACGCGCATTACGAGCCAAAAAGAGGGGAAGAAGCGTTCACATGTTGGAAATGATGATCATCGGAGAGTTCATGAGGCCCCCTAAACACTTTCTTTATGGAGTTTTTCCATATTCCTTAAATGTTTACATATTGTTTCATGAGAGGCATCCAACTTCAGGGCCGTTTCACAAGTGTGTTGCCTTGGGTTAAACTCTACAAGAGTCTTCAGAGCATCAATATCAATTCCAATATGTTGGCTCCTCCCATCACAGTTTTTAAGGCTAAAGTCACCTGAATGAAATTTGCTGAACCATCGTTGACATTTACGAATGTTCAAAACATTTCCATAAACTTCTTTGATATTCTTTGTAGCTACAGAGATGCTGTTTCCCTTCTTGTATTCAAACAGCATTACATGCTGAATGTGTGTCTCGTGTGCCATCACTATAAGGGATTAAAGTATACTAAACTTTACACATTATATAGGCTACACTCACGTGATGTTTAGGTAGTTCGTTTAACTATTATACGTGATGTACATTTTTTGAGGGGTGGTTAATGAAAGTGTTCCAAAACACGACATTAATTTCTTGACGACCTAATATATTTGTGAGGATTAAGTTGATTGGTTTATCTCTAAATCTAATACCCAGTCACTTGGAACTCAAATCTACATGGGGGTAGGATAAGGGATCCCTATAAAAGGGCTGAACTGCAATTTTGATGGCTCACTCCAATGTTTCATAATGGAGGAACCAGCAGAACACCACCTCCCTACTATTAACTGAATGATTATATAATTATTATTTCATTAACACATTCAATAGGAAGCCTCCATGGTCCCCCCACCACAGCGACTTGGAACTGGAAAGTGGTAAGGACTCTCAAACTCCACTAGAAGAAAAGGGGGAGAAAGTACGGTGAAGAGTCTGGATGAATGGCAACACTTGAGATAGTGCAACGGGTGATCATGAAATTCTATTATGAAAAGCAATCCATACTGATTTATTCAATACAAGGCATGGCCGGGATGAGCAGCTATCCCCTTCTGCTTTACCCATGTAGCCCATGCATGAGAATGGTCTGGGGCGAGCAAACTAATGAAGGAAACATATCACAAGGATAGATCTACAAGTGAAACAACCACTCTCAGCAGTGTTCATTTTTTGGCAATAGAAATCATAAAATGTAAGTCGACATGGTCTTACAGTGTGGATTGGACTAGTTTAAGTGTACCTGGACAGGCACCAATCACCACAGAGTGGGATTCAGAAAGAAAAGAAGGACATGCCCCTGAAAAACAAGAGGTACATATACTAAAAGGTAACTTAGCCAGTCACAGTATCATGAAAGAATGAAGGATGGCAACAGGTGGATGATGGTACCCCAACAAGGAAGAAACAGCTACCCAAAGCGCAGAATAGGAGATGAACATATAATGTGTAGTCCCAGTACTTGTCAGACAAAGTCCCTTAATTGCACGAGACGAAAGACATGTAGGGAATAGGGAAGGTGCATGATCGGAGTGAAGACATCAGGAAGTGATGAATGGAAGAAGGATACAAAGAATAAAAGACAACTGAATCACAATCCAAACCCAATGAATAATGGTGGAGGGAAAACAAATCACAGACAAAGAAGTGGAGTAAGGGAAGGAAACTGTGTGAAATGGATGTTATGGAAAGAAGCCTTGAAAACAATGAAGCAACACACAGCATGTACAGGACAGAGAAAATCATCTGGATCCCACCAAGGAGAAATGTAGACGTTGTTAAGAAACGAAAAAATCAAAAGAAATAGACCACAAAAGCCACTAAAATGTATGTGAATAAACTCAATATAGAACAAAAGAAACAAATCAAGCCAAAACTGCTGAAAATACCAGAGCAATGCTGGCCAGGAAAGATCAATCAGAAAGACCTGAACAGGAGTGACATGAATGAATAAAAATTTGGGGAAGAAAACTGATGGAATGAGAAAAAACTAACATTATAAACTAGATGTAAACCTGTTTGAGCTTAACAACAGCCAGAGCAAGTGGATTATGAGCCAGAGACCAAAAATAAAAAAGGTAACTAACTAGGAAGTGATAACAGATTCAAAAACTTCAAGTGGACCCCACAGGAGGCAGAGCCACCAAAATGTGTCAGTACTGGAAAATCAAATAGCAATGAGAACAGAACATATAACCTCCAAAGTGGTAACATAGAATTCATAATTCAAAATGAATAACCAAACCCCACTGTGTTGGCAGAAAGAAATAAAAAGTTGTTGTAATGAAGTAACAAGTTCTGTAATCAGATAGAAATATAAAATAATTCCACTTTAGAATAACTCAACAAGTTACAAATATCATTATTGTATAATAAATAGTAAACATGTTTAGGGAAATTGATACAAAGATATGAAAGAGAAAAAAACACTTGAAGAGAGCAAACTAAATGTTACAACATGTGTACTGCCAAATGAGAAGTGATAGTTTGGTAGGATTGAATAGAGGGAGTCACATGCATCAAGAGCATGTGTTATACCCTTACTGGTGGAAGTTTGTCATTTGATTAAATGCATGTAAGATGCATTTGAATCATTTAATTCAAAAATGGGATGGGTGGGAGTTTCAGAGCTTGTGGCATGTGAAAAAATATTTTTGCATATAGAAGGCAGCACTAAATGAGAATAGCTATTTATGTGTGAAGATGTAATGTACCATATAGGAAAGACCACTTCTATTAAGTTTTTAAAAAGTTTTAAAGATGATATGATAAACAATTACAGTATATTATTAAAAATTTAGTAGTTGTCAGAACAATTTATTGCTAATAAAGATCCATATATACATAACTCATTAGCCTAAAAATAATAATTTAACATTGAATACTTGTGTGCACTGCCTTGAAATGACCTATTGTAAATTATCATGCTAAGATATTTATTTACAGAATGATTAAGCTGAAAAAAAGACAAAACCCAAATTTACAAAAAAAAGGTCTTAAAATTACCATAAATTATTGTAAAATTTCAAACCTTAAACTATTATGATATGTAATTTTCTTATTTACTCATCATATTATTCATTTTTGTGTATTACTTGTAAATTAAAGTTGAAATTTAAAATTAATTCATGTGTAATTTATGCCAATTCGTTAATTAAAATTACAAAAAGTAAACAAATGGTTCTGGTAACAAATGTACCCTACATGTAACCCTATGTTACTTTCTTTTATATTTTGAACAATGAATAACCCTCACAGAAAAATAGTTAGGTCATCATGACATCCCCATGCTACCATAGATTTAAAAGTATACATTTGCCATTCATATTTCATTACACAAACACACACACACACACCTATGAAAAAAGTCTTAAGTAATTTGCACTACAGTTCCTTTGATACCCAATTCCACAAATCAAATCTTTTGTTATATATTATTTTCTTCTTTCATGGAGAAACTTCTGTACAAGAAAACATGGAAGTTGTAAGAGTGATCTCTAGCATTAAGTTAGAATTTTGAAATTTTAATTTTTGGAAATTAAACAGGCTATTAGCTGTTTAAACCACTTTTTTTTAACTTCAGCCAAATTTCCTTAAATCTCCTGTTCTCTATGACTCAATTTTACAAACACAATGAAACACATAACTATGTGTGAAATTCTACATTAGACTAAATACATTTCAAGTTGTTGTGGTGTGAATGCCTTTCACAAGCAGGCAAAGTATAATTATAATTAATTATACTTTTCATGCACTACATTTTTAATGAAGTCCCTTAGGAATTTTATTAATTGTGTACAGAAGAAATTATATTCCAGTACACTATTTCACTGTCATAAGCACATATTTCATTCTCTAAAGCCATTGTTCTTCTAAGCCATTGTTCTGCGATGTGGTATCATGAAAATAATCAAAAACTTACTGAATATTCACATATACACTGTCATGGTTTTTTTTTTTTGCACTTGCATTTTAGTGGCCTGCAGCAGTTTATGGAGACAGTGATTGGTCACTGGTATCAAAAAGGTTGAAAAATGTTGCGGTACAGCACTGTAAAGTGAAATTTTGTACCATCATGAAGAAAGAGTATTTCCCGTAAATATTCACCTCGTTTACTAGTTTAAAGTTTGAGATAAGTAATTAAGTGTTGAAACTCTTGTCTTTCTGTTGTTCTTGTATAGCTAATTGTGTACTTGACACTAGGAGAGTTGTTCATTTTAAGTATGAGATCTTACAGTGCCTATGTAATTTCGGTTTTATTAAATATGGCACACACGAACTAATTTTCCAACATATTTATAGTCAGGCTGTAGTCATTGGTCATATTTTCTATCAGAATTTAGAATAAACATTATTAACACTTTAATCTCTTGAATCTAGTTGCATTGTAATGTCACTGAAACTTTATAAATAAATCTAGTACATATTCAAATCTATATTTTTATCTAGATTTAAAAAAAGAAGAAAATATCTATGTTAAAATGATTAATCCTATTTTGATTTAATAAGATTTATCAGTGATATATTTATATTATACTGTGAACTTCTCTGCTTGATGATAACGTCTTCTTTCATATGTAAAGTTCATTCATGTAAGTAAGTCTGTGATAAAACAAAATATTTCATTCTGAGGAATATAGAAAAACAATTTAACTACTGAACCTCACAGCAAAATGAGGTAATATTGATTTATTTATGATAAAGTAAATATGAATATATCAAAACATAATGTTTAGAGTAAATATTACTGTTTAATATAAATCTGTTTGTAATAGTTTCATAATTTAAAAAACAAGTTCATACCAAGCACTTGCTAATAAAAATTAGTAAGCATCATACACAATGAAGTTTTATGTATTATAATGTAATTAGTATTAACTCCTATTTAAGTTAACACTTCAATCAAACCAAACATTCCTGCTGTTGCATTAAATGACCAATTATGTTCAGAGAAAAATTACATCGTCTTACATAAGGAAGACCGTTATTTAAGACATACACTGTGTATTAATATTTAACTTGTTACCTCTCAGAAAAGTCCGATGGAGATAGTTCAGGTGGTCTTTTGCCTGACCAGTGGCCTCCATGTTCCATCAAGTTTGGCATGTTATGTTGAGGTGTTCTGGGACTGGCACTGATAACATGTACATTGGTACGCTGAGGTGTGCTCAATATCTGTATGTATATATATAAATAAGTTAAGTAATGTACGGTTTTAACATTATTCATAAAAACATGCTTCCCGTGATAACAAATTAAACCATCAACCTGTTTTACTTAATAAAATCCATGTAAATACAAATAAATGCCTTAAAGTTAGCTTTAAACATTTTGTGTGTAGATATTAGATTGAAAGTTCATACAACAAGAGATAGACTAAAATTAGTTGCCACAAGTTTTAATCCCATATACTTGCAAAAATTAAATTTTATTTACTTTAGCTAAGTTACTGTGTTATCCACTCAATCTTTTCTCTACCAACTGTAACTTGTAGCATTTTACTGCTATATATGCAAGCAGAGTGGCCACATTGTAGCATTAAATTTTCCCCCAACTTTCCAGACTTGCACAATTATATGATCTACTGATATTTGAACTTTTATTCTTAAGTCTACCTAATTAACATCTTTTAGTTTGCAATAACCATCAGGGTGTACTCTGAATTTTCATTTTCAAATTCCCTGTATTTTCCTTTTTTTCCTTCAACCACCCCTTCTCCACCATGACACAATAACTGGACTTAAAATTTTTTTTTTTAATATTTTTTTTATATTTCTTTGGGATGGAGACTAAAAAGGAGCAAGAAAACGAATTACATTACTACACATCTAATATTAGTATTAATCAATCACATATTGAATCTTTACTATGACATTCAAACAGCCCATGCATTAAAAATTACAAGCAATATGCTTTAAAGTTAACAAAACAGTTGCCCGATTTGATTGTACCACATCGCTTAAGATTATGATACACTTTTTCAGCCTCTTACGAGGAAAATAACAAACTTGTTACCAAAAACCTTATTAGTATAAGAAATGTGTTCATTAGCAAGCTCTAAAACATATTTAGAACACTCAAAATTAAGCATAAAAACGTCGAACTAATCAATTAATATGCTTTTTGCATACGAGTTCATCACAGCCAAAACAAGAAAGCTGAATAATTAGTGAACACGTATTTACAAAACAGCGGACAGAGTATAAGCTCACACTACAAAATAAAAAGCATGGTATGTACTACAAAACACCAACAAAATCAGACACGCTATGAAGCAATTTGGCTTGCACACATATGTCACACATTTAAAATTAAAATGTAGTTCATCTGAGAAATCTGTTCATTTGCATGATATAAAACATATCTAAAATAGTCATATTTAAGTGCAAAAAATATAAAACTAATCAATGAATATGCCTTGTGGTATACGAGATCATTACAGTCAATCACAAGAAAGTTAGTTGAATAATCAGTGAACATGTAGTTAAAAGACAATGAATAGAATGTTGGCACATTTAATAATTTAACAACCAAGGCATGTACTAAAAGCACCAATACAATCAGACAAGATCTGAGGCAGTTTTGCTAGCAGGAATTCAAAGACTGATACACAAACTAATAATGCCAAAAACTTTTCTTTTTGCTTTAAGATCTGAACTTTAACCATATCATCAGCCTTGTCCTTCTTGTTTATTTGTTTACAAACATTTTTCTACTTCCCTTGCTGTTGTCAATTTACAGGGCCTATCGTGCAAATTTTTCTGAATCATTCAAACACGATTGTGCTTCATCTTCCAGCATTTTAAGCTTTCTTTTCACAAATAAACTCTTGCTTGGTTTCTTCTACCTCTCATTCAGATTTGTCCTTGGCTGCAGTCTTTTGATCCATAAGCAAGTGCATGACTTCAATAATCTTTCATTGACCTCAAATTCATAAGCTTTAATGCCTTGAGATACCTAAGTATCATAAACTTGATGCTGAGCAATTAAAAATTCTTTCTTCATGTTTGGTACCATGATATCCTCATTCACAGAGAACCCTTGCTCCACACGTACTTGTCCATGTGAGAGGACTAGAACAACATCAACAACTTCCCACAGTTGTTGATACGTATCCTCTGTGTACAGAAATGCATGGTAGAATTCATCCAAGCACATGTTGCACTTGGCAAGGACATCCTGCTTCTCCCAAATCAATAATCCAAACTGCACTTCTGCTGCATCACAAACTTCAACAGGGCAGGTTCTGGTTATAAAGGGTAACAAGGAAACTTCAAAAATACTTATTTTAATCTATGGCAGTGGTACTACAGAATAATATTTTCAAACAAGGGCATTGCAACTTGATGGTAAACAATAAAATTTGCATTTTTTTCATATAAAAGATAATTTGATCTAACTTATCATGAAACATGACAAATTAGATAATTTTCAGCAGAAAACATAATATAGCTAAGCAGCACAGTTTGTAGATTCTAAAATAAAAATACCCGTGCTATTCATGTTTCTAACTATACTAGAAAGTTACTTTGTTATTAAATCAAATACAAAAAAATTATAATTGCCAATTCATGAGCAAAGGCACCTACCTGTTTAAACATTTTCATAGATTGGTATGTAAATTGAATTATAGCTCTATTTTACTTGAATCTATAATGCTTATATCAGTTATGTACAAAGTATCTGTACAAAAGAATTTCTGGTGTATCTTTTAGAGATGAAAATATTTTTTTTTACAAACATGGGCTTCTCTAAATGTGGTCATCATTTCCAAAGTAATATTCATGACCAGAAGGCATTAAATAGAGAAGTAAATGTAAATAAAAGTATTTTCAAAAGTAATAAGGCATTATATGTTGTCTTCTGTTCAAAATGTGCATATATATAAATGATAATTTAAGCAAAAAAATAAAAATTATGTCTTTGTATCAAAATGTATGGAGAACTTTAATAGTGTTACGACAGCAGAAGTCATGTGACGCTGGTAACACGTGATGAGTTTCTAGAAGGATCATGAAGGTTCGAGTGTTTTCCAGACGCCCTCTATTTTTGCATATAAGCCCGGCAAATAAAGCGGAGATAAGAAGTGAAGGCATAGAGAATGGCACAATGGGAGATATAGAGACACATAATCGAGTCAAGTCGTAAGTAAAGTGCGTGAATTATAGCGTGTGTTTAAGTTAAAGTGACTTTGGAAATTCTATGTATTGCAAAGTTGTATTGAGAAATAATAAACTAGTTTTATTTAACAAAGGACTTGTATCGCTGAAGTTCTTCAGAAAGAATTTTTATGGGAAATTAACAAATGAACAGAGACATAATAATAGTAATAAATTATGTTGATAAAATATATAGATTATAGATTATCTTATACAAGCTATAATTCCAAAGTAATGAGACATTTGATTGAATTTGTTGGTCTGTTGAAAATGTTCTTAGGTGTTAGGTGAGTGTGCTTTTGAATGAATAACTGCCATGAAATGTCAAAGTTTTCTAACAATTCTATGAAACAGTCAAGCACTGCATCCTTGTATACCTTGACCACATCTCAAAATCTGAGCCCTTGTATTGACATATCAGTAGCGCAAGCTTCATTTGATATTAGTGGTCAAAGTTATTTGCCACTACTTCTTATGCTTAGCAAACAGTTGGGTGACACTGCTCTTTATCTTAGAAACTAAAAGAAGTTTGTACCCACGTAGCAATCCGCTTCTAAGTGTGTGAGCACATAATCAGCTTTAAGTTTGTGGCACTCATAGATAATTAGCCACATCATTATAAAAAAATACCTTAATTCCCTCTTTATAAAGACCAATGTTTACTGCCCTACACAGAGTACCACATTTTGGATACTTATCCCATCACATGCAGATTTGCCTGTATTTTTAAAGTTCAAAACATCAATTACAATAGCCAAATAAATCTCCGTACTTGAAGTGACACCTAGAGAGCTGGTAGCATGCATATGGTAGGTAATGGTCCCGAGATTTTCATATTGCTTGTATTTTCTTGCATATGCCTTGTTTGCATTCCTTAAGTCCCTAAAACACTTTTGACCAAAACTCTATTGTAAAATATTCTTTACAAATTTGAAAGTTGGCTATTTAAATTACATTTTTTTTGTTTACAGACTGTTTGTCTTATAAAATTTGTTAAATTCTAAATTTCCATAGCTATGATAACATTTTAATTATGTTTTTAGTTAATGTGAATTGCATTTTAGATATTTCTAGTTTTTCTAAATTTTGTGTTGTATACTCAGTTTAGTTTCGAACTGCTTATTTCACAGTCTTCCATACTATCATAATCATATTTTTACAAGAAATACGTTATGTCTAATACCATAGCACCACAACCATACAAGAACGTTATGATCAGTAATTTGTAATTTTTGCATCACTTACTCAAGGCAATCTGTTAATTAAATGTAAAAAAAAGTTACACAGACATGTATTATATGTTAAATGAACAAACTCAGACCTCTGAGAAATTTATTTGACTAAAACTGTTTACATGTACATTATGTATATATATTCAGGAACTGATAACTACTTGAGCCAGTAAACACCAGAAGATGTAGGAATGGCAGGAAACAAACAACAAGACCTATCTGTAGAGGAATTTAGATTGCCTACTGGCAGCCTTATTTATCACATTACTCAAAATAACAAAATGAAAAAAGGTGATAACAGAAATGCATTGCACCATTTGCTGAATTCACTAGCATCAACTACTTTCATTTCCTATCTAAAAGTAATATCTTGAATAGATTAAAGTTTTTTGGTACATAAACTCAATATGTTTGAAAATCAACAATGCTCTACCTCTATACTTTACTGGCATACCGGAATTTATAAACAGCTCTCCCTCTCTCTATAAACACGTTAAGTAATATCTGATAACATAAACATCCTGCAAACTAGTGGAAAAAAAACAATAATCAAAAAACAGAAAATCATTAAAGTACTTTTACCGTTTAATGTATTAAATTCAGACTTCTTAATTTTTGGACTCAACAACACAGTAGAATACAATTAATCTCAGCTTAAATTTCTTGTAGAAAGATAAATAATGTCAAATATCACAAAACATTATATTTAGAACAATTTAAAAACCCTACAAAACAACCAAAGCATTCATTGAGTTTTCTTTTTCATGTTATGTATTATGCTCAAAAAGGTTAAGTCCCTCCCATGCCAAGATGGCACACAACATTCAGAGCTAAACTCCAGCTTAACTGGCACAAGTGGATGAGAATGGCAATATATCCCTCCCTCCCCCTCCCCCACTTCCATGGGATGCCAGTCCTTGCAGGTTTTAACCCCAAGCTAACAGTTGGTATCCATCAGACAGCCAAGTAAACTGAAACAATTGTTGTTGTCATGTTCAAAAACACAACAGCACAATACGAGTGAACCTAGAACTCTCAATCACTCGACTACAACTCCAATGCATGAAGTCACTGAGCCATACTGGCCCCTCTTTATGCATTATGAATATGAATTATGAAAAAATTAAGTGCTGGTAAAGAGAAAATATGATTAATAATTCACCAAAATAATCTTGCTAGGTCATCAGAATAAAGTAGTTCATTGCCTCTTTCACATCAATTTTGATTAACTTTACTGTAGTTGGTGCACCTGTTATAAAACATTTCACATACCATTGTTATCCCTTGAAAAATATATCAGATAAAATATTAGATAATTTTGTAAAAATTTACTCAGATATTTTGTGAACATGCCATTTAAACAGGACAAACACTAACCTAGTTTCTTCAGCAAAGTGGCACAACAGAATGAATACTAAAACATTTCTGAAAATGCATCTCAATGAACTCACCATTGGTGACATGTTTTTCGGCAATAGTGTCAGTTCAGCTTTAAATTGTGACATTTTGCTTGGAGAGGTGACACTTGCTATGGGCACAGTGATTAACTGAGTTGGAACAGCTGAAAAAAAGTCAGCATCATAAAGTTTTCAAAATATTACTTTTGATGCATCTTATAATCTGTTACACAATTCATCTTTTTCCAAACTCCCATGTTTTGAGTGCATAGCTTAACACTTTTCAGTATTGAAACTTATTTTGCACCTTCAGTAGTACTGTCTAGGTCCTGGATCGAAGAAACTTTCTCCAAAAAGTCAGTTTCCAGTAGAGTAATATCTGAATACATAGTATATAAATAATTCTGTTTAGAAAACATGATAGTTTTAATGAAATTTATTTGGTCAGAATTTGGATGACAGTGATTGTCAATGTGAATTTAAAAGTAAAGTCAGTCAGTTAGGATATTTGTGCTTTAACATTCAAATACTCAGAGATCTCATATGGTCACATAGTGTAATTACAAATACGTAAGACAAACCCAAACCACTATAAGACCACATTTTACATTCACCAATACACTTCAACCACTTTATTTAACTATCTATCCAGTTGCCATAACCAGCATTTTCCTAACTAACTTTAAAATCAAACTACAGGAGCAAAGCTTATTGGACTAATTTCATGAACATTGATACACTTAATGGTATTAGACTAAAGCCAAGTACTACTGACATTATATCTCTGTCTGTACTTGTAAAAAATTTATTCACAATACTGTTCGTAGATTCATCAAACATTTTTAAAACATTTTCCTATTAAAAATTTTAGCCTAAAGTTTTTTTTAATTTAATAGTCTCTCGTTATCTTGTCTACAGTCTGTACAAAGAATTTCAATGGATATTTTATAACAAGTTTTAAAAATTAAATAATATATTTCTCTAAGATGTATGCCCAGTATATACGAAAAATGAAAAACAAACTGAAATGTTTGCTATCTTACATGGGTCAATAAAATACACATGTAACATTGCAAAGATAGCAAGTACCTTGTCTTCACATGGCCATCATTCTGCCAGTCCTAATCATCAGTGAGAAATAAAACACTTAATCAAAACTTATTATAACTAAGTACCAGGGAGACATATCCAGTTACAGAAAGGCTTGAAATAATGCACATGTAGCCATACAGTAATAACATGATTTAAAGTACAAAGTAAACTCCAGAGTTAAAATCTATTTAGACAAGCACAAATGCTACAGTTGAGCTTTGCAGTCAAATGCTGAAAACAGTTGTTCAATATTCTAACATAAACATAATTTATTAGAAATTAAAAACATGTTTCAAATCTGAATCTTTAAATTTTAGATGAAGTTTAGAAGAGAAGTTAGATAAACTATAAACAGTAAGAAAAAAATTAAAACTATAAATAGTATACATAACAAAGTACACAAAGCTATTTACTGACTCTACAAAGCTTTTGTGACAATCAGCCACAAATAAGGTAGATAAATCAAAAACATTTGCATGTAGCAAATGTAATGTAATATTCAAACTTAACTCAAGGTAAGAATCAAAAATAAATAAAACAACGAATGGTGCCACATAAATACAAAAAATATTTTATGTCAAGCAACATTATATAAAGTTGTGAACTACACCTAGTTTTATTGGCATTTTACTAATTAAATACGAATTGTAACATTAAAATCCATAGAAACATAGTTACAATAATCAACAAAATAACTTCCAAATCGTCAGTGAATCCAAAAGACTGGACATTGTATAAAGTATATAGGTGAAAAATATTAAAATACAAGAAACAGAATAACAAAACAAATTAATACTTTATTAGTTACTTTTGTGAAAACATATGTTAAGAGTAAGAGTTAGTTCTTATGATGTTATGGTCTGAACACAACATGCACTGTTGACTTTTGCACTTGGTGCTTTTGCATAGTGAAGTGTTGAGAGATAAGTGGAACATTAAAAAAGACAGAATACAGAGTTTTGTAATCTAAAGGTGGTTTTTGTCACAAATACAGAAAATGTACTATTATACATCTTAAAAAAATATAAAAACTATTTTAATAAGGGTATAGCTTTAACATGATTAACATCACCAGAGAAAAATATTGATGTGATGCTAAGCAGTGGAGACTTTCTTGCCTCTATTTATTGCACATGAATTATACTCAAAAGATCCAAGATGTGAATCTCTTCAAATCTGCTAAGATTAGTCAACCATGGAATTATGCACTCCTGACTGTGACACCAACTCATAGCTTGATAAAATACTTATCTCACTAAGAAGAACACCTATCTTTTCAGAACTTGGCTGCAGTTTTATCATAGAAAAAAAAGGGTGTTGCATTGTACTGAACAAAATCACATGGATTATTTCATATACAAACAACTGGTTCCTTTATGATATTACTTACTCATTGCAAACACACAGTAGGGAAAGGATTCCACAGTTTAGTTTTCAGAAATGGCCAAGTTTATTCTAGGCTTTACTTCTTTGTTTATGATGATTTTATTTCAGCATCAAGAACTCACAATACAGAAATGTTTAACTGAGAATTTTCTTACAGTTGTATTCAATACTCTACAAAATTCTCAACACCATAATCAACAACAACTAGAACCTTTAACAAATCAAATAGTAAAGTACTTAGGCAACATCTTCACAGAAGATGGTTTATGAGGTATAAATATGATGTCAGAAAGCAAACATGTTCGTTGGTTGGTTGTTTGGTGCTTTATGGCGCAAAGCAACGAGGCTACCTGCACCAAACAACCAGTAAAAACAGTGACAGTAAATTAAAATAAAATGTAAAAATTGAGCGAGTTAAAACCAAAATATGTCGATAAAAGATTTATATACAATTAAAAAGACCTATAGTGCGTAAAAATTAAAAATACAATCTAGTTGGACAGTGTCACCATTACCAATGACACTGTCCAACGTCAGGGGTAAACTCTTAGAAAATGCCCTATCATCACTGGCTATCCTGTAGCTTGGCAAGAGTCTGAGTAAATGGTTGAGTGAATCTAATGACAGCTCCATCTTTGTTGATTCTCTGAAAGTAGTCTTGACAGAAACTCTGGGTTCCTCAGCAAACTAATTTTCTGCTCGTAAATGTTTTGCTAGCGTTACCAAGTTGGCCGTCCTCACACTGATGTACTTCGTACTTCCAAATACAATTGCAGTGGGTGACTTGACATGGACCACCAATCCATCTGAATTCTATGGTCTACATCAATGATTCTTTTCAATATGATGTATGGTTCTTCCAAAAACCTATTTAGTTTTTTCTCCTGCAAAGAGAACTGTTCAGGCATACCATGTCACGTTGAGGAAATCCAGTTTTATCAACATTAACATCACAGCAGTCTTTTATTTTATCACATGCTGATCTAAGTCTTCCCTGGATAAAGTCACATATCACATCTTAATTCTTCACATGTCCATGAGACCTATTTCAGCCATCTAACCCTCAGGACATGCTGAAATGTTTGGTTCTAATACACCCCGGTCACTAGAAGTAGATTTATTCCTAATTACCCCTGGTGTGAGTATATCATTTCTTGATGGTATGATGACAACTCTCTGTTGTCATTTGAAGTTTAACCTCTGATGTAGAAATTGCCATATAGTACATAGGAATTTATTGGTAACATAATGTGCAGCTATTTGAAATTAGCTTAACCTAGCATCCCTGCCTCTGCAGGAAGTTAGTTCTCAATATGCATTCTTCCTTGATATCAATTACCCACAAATCATGAAGTATAGAGAAGCTATCAAAGTAAGAATAATTTCCAACTTACCTTTTGGAAAAACATTACGTCCACTTGTTGCTCGCATCAACTCCTCTTCTTTCATCATCTCTGGAGGCAATTTCTCATCTTTCATTAATAGATAAGAACCAAGTGTCAATCAACTCAATGCAAGATTTTCCATCAATAAGCCCATGGCCCCCATGGGAAATTTTCCTCAAATAATGAACTTTTCTCACTTGGAGTAGATGTGATATTCTCAACTGAACTTCACACCACAAGATCAGCCAATTCCTGTTTTCCGATGTCTTGTTACTCCTTTGATGGTCCTTTGCTTCCTTGATGTATTAACAGTTGTTGATTCCTCACAGTTTCACCTGTAATGGCCAGATTTCCAACATTTATGAAAGTTATTGATATCCTTTGGGAGTGTTTTTATTCCCTACATGCTTTTTTTCTACAGTTCCTGACAGTGTGTCCTTTCAAATTACACTTGAAACATCTATTATCTTGTGGTCTATTTTCTCCATTCTGTAACTAGTTGTCTAACAAATATTTTCATTTGATGTTTTAGTACTACTGGATCTGACAATCCCATAACTCCGAGATGGTCTTTAGTTGTTAATCTGAACTTTAATGGATTTTAGTTCCACTGCAACTACAGAGCTTCCTTTAAAGATATACATCTACTTTGCTTTAGCCTAATCCTCATATCCTTTTCTGTTATGGCATCTATGAATTGGTCATGTGCCAACCAATCCACCATTTCACAAGGATTGCTCATGTAAGAAAATAGGGCAAGCATTTTCAACTCTTCTGCAAGTTTGGCTAAGGCATTTTCTTTCCTTCATACCATGTTCTGGAAATTTGGATTGGCTACTTCCTTCTGATGTGTCACTTCAAACCTGTTGGTTAAGGCATCTAATTATGATTCTCAGCTGGAAGATTACTGAATGTTATCAAAAGAGGTATTTTAATATGAGCAGCAAGATGGATAGCTTGTTGTTCACTATTCCACCCACTTACTCTGGAAATGATTTCAAAACTGATTCTGGTATGCTTCTTATAGAACTTTTTCATCATAGTCTATTGGCCAATGTTCAACTAGGCAGCTACATTCTAGAACGCTATATGGTAGCATCATGGCTGAAGCAGTCCAGGAAGTTCCAAGAGTAACAGCTGGTATAACAGTATTAGCAATAGGTGTAGACCAATTAAGTTCTCCTATTCCATATCTTGTAGTAGACAGTGTTTTTAGATGGAACTCTTAAACCAATGCAGAAAGAGATGGGCTGGATTAATCTTTGCATTTAACAATTCATTTTCCAGATATTTTATTCTAT